TACTAAAAATAAAGGAAAATTTGAAGAAATGGCAAATGCAGAGAAGACCTGTGGTAAAAGAGAAATGAAAATCTATGTTCCTCGTAAACACAAAACAAAAAAGAAATTCAAGGATCCCAATCCTTGAACCAAGAGACTTCCTTTGGGCTTTTTTTTGTTCTGTTCTGAGTATCACCCCAAAATCAAAGGAACACATCCAAGCCTGTCCATTGGTGATATTGCCAAGAAACCGGGAGAGATGTGGACTCATACTGCTGCAGACGGTAAACTGCCATGTGAAAAGGCTGCTAAGCTGAAGGAAAAGTATGAAAAGGATATTGTTGCATACTGCGCTAAAGGAAAGCCTGGTGCAGCAAAGAAGGGGGTTGTCAAGGCTGAAAAGAGCAAGGAGAAGAAAGAGGAGGAAGACAGAGATGATGAAGGTGAGGAAGAAGGAGAAGATGAAGAGCATGAATGTGAAAAAGATGATAAATAAGTTGGTTCTAGCACGGGTTTTTTTCCCCTTGTATGTAAAGCGTTTAACTTCTCTTGTACACAACACACTCCTTTTAAAGAAAAAACCTGAAATCTAAGGCTGTGTGATTTAAAAAAAAAAAAAAAAAAAAAAGAGGAACTTGCAGGTGACATGGTGGTTAAGGGCCCTTGACCATGGTTCAAGTCCCAGACCTGGCAACTTGCTTTCTCACTTTATGTCTCTCTCTTTCTCTCTCACTCTGTCCCTCTCTTGTCAAATTAAAAATAAATAAATAAAGTTAAATAAAATAATTCTAAAAAAACCCAGGAAATGTCTGGACTATTCTAAGTGGTGGAAAATGAATAAACATTTTAGGCAGTTACGTTGTGTGATCTGATTTATGTTTTAAAGTAAAGGCATACAAATATAAATGAAAGCAATAGAGATGTCTTTTTAAATCTCAGAGAAAAGACTTTCACAACTATGCCTCAAAATCTAGAAACAAATAACAGAAAATCAACATCCTAAGAGAAATAGGGATAGGGACCAGCAGTTAGCATAATGGCTATATCACTGGACTCCCATGTAATCGACCATGGTTCAAGTCCCAGACCTGGTGGCTTAAAACTCACGCTGGGCATGCATGTGTGCATGCCCAAGATCCTGAGAGGAGAATGGAGGAGAAGGGATTACAGAGTGGCCATCTCCCCTGGGGGGTGATTTCTCGCTTTCTATCTCTCTTTCTCTCTCGGTCTTTTTGGCAAGCGTACGTGCCCTATAGCAAAAACCTCTCCAGAAAAAGAAAAAAAGAGAGAGAGAAATAGGGATAAAGGACATAATTCACAAGAAAGGAAAAATGAGAGCCAGCTCTGTGATGCAGTGGTAATTCATTGCTAAGAGAAGCTGGATCCCATATGGCAACCATGGCTCAAATCCCTGGCCTAGCCGACCTGAAACACGCTGGACACATATGCAAATGCCCAGGCTCTGACAAGTTGGAAGATGGAGGAATGGATTCATGACCAGGCCTTCCATGTCTCACTCTCACTCTTGCTCTTAACTTTACTCTTTCCTGTGTGTATATACATTTTATCATGAATAAAGAAAAATTTTAAAGGAAGTATATTTTTTAACTGGGACTTAAAAAATTATTTTATTTTATTTATGTATTTTAATTTGACCAGAGAGGGACAGAGAGAGAGAGAGGGAAAGTGAGAAGGCAAGCTGCCAGGTCTGGAACTTGAATTGTGGTTAGCTATGTGGGAGTCCAGCACCCTTAACCACTATGCCACCTGCCAGCCTCAGGAAATACTTTTTTTTTTTTTTTTTGGAGGGTTTTT